ATGCCGTGTCTGCACCCACGCTGACTCTTGCTCTGTAGGGCGCATGGTGCTGAGGACATGTGAGGTTGACAAGGAGGACAGCCCAGCCCACGGTCTTCTCCCCTCCGACGTGGCTGCACTATCAGAGGGCCTGTCCTGGGCTGGTGAGGAGGGACTCCACTTCCTGCTAGGACCTAGGGCTGAGTCAGGGCCATGAGGCACCATGGCCAGATACCATTCTGCCACACCCAGAGCAAAGGGCAGCCCCCTCCTTGGGTGGGCGGTCATGGAGGGAGAGGTTAGGTGAGAGGTTAGGACATTTCAAAGAACCTGTCTCCTTCCATCAAAATTATGGAAGTTCCTGGGACTCCGTGGTGTGTATGTAAGTGACTATGTGAGTGTAAGTGTCAGTGTGTGTGAGTGTGAGCGCGTGCATGTGGGTCTGTGTGTGCAGTGTGAGTGTGGTGGTCAGTGTGTGTGGAGGGGTAAGAGTATGTGTGACCAGGACCAAGACTGGACAGAAGTTTACCCCTAACCCCCAGCTCAGGCTGGAGCCCTTGGGGTCTTGGAGCTTTGGGAAGAAAAGGGAAGAGAGCAGGAGAGAATGGCACCCACACAGCCCAGAGGGGGCAGGGAAGGCCAGGAGCCAAGGGCCCCCCTCGTCCTACCCATGCAAGGCTCTTTAGGGCTCCTCTTTTAGGAGAAATTGGCCCCGGGGCAGGGTGAGGCCTCACTTACTTCTATGTTGGAAAACCAGGCAGGGCGTGGCTCAGCAGCTGTGCAGCCCGGGTAGACCATGGATGCCCAGGAAAGAGGGCGAGGATGGCAGGAGGTGCAGGGGCAGGAGGCCCAGCAGACAGCCGTGTGCTGTCGAAGAATGGGTCAGGCTGGGAGGTAGAAGCTCTCTAGTCCAGCCTGTGAAGGACTGGCAACTGCAGGGAGCCCTGGGGCAAGGGCTTAGAGTGGAACAGAAAGACAGCCGAGGCCACAGCAAACCTGCCTGCTGCCACAGAGGCCCGTCCAGGGGGTCCGAGCACCAATGCTCCCAGCGTCTCCCTTCCCTGCAGCTTAGGAATCCGGAGACGACAAGTGGCTATCTGTCAGGGTCGGCGCAAGACGATGACCGGCCAGACCAGAGGATCCCAGACCAGAGGGAAGCTGTGCTGGCGTCAGAGACACCGTGTGCTTCCGTCAGCTCCCACACATGAAGCACTCTAATCAGGCAGCATGCATTTATTAGGCATCCGCCTCCAAGCCTATGCTAGCAGCTGGGCTGAAAACGGTGAATAAGACGTGTTACTTGTCCTGTAGGGAGCTCATAGTCTAAGAAAGGAGACAGACAGCATTGTGAGTAGGAGACCGTGAAAAAGTGAGCCAATCTCTGTAAGAATCCAGGGAGGTCAAGGAAGGCTTCCTGGGGGAAGAAGTCTTCATGAATGAAGCAGAATCAGCCAGCCAATGTTGAGTGACAGCTTGGTGAGTGTGGGACCCCAAGAAGACAGGCCTGGCTGGAAGAGAAAGCAAAGCACGCGCTGGGAGTGCAGTGAAGCCCATGGGGTTGGCCCCAGCAACGTGGTCAGCCCTTGTAGGTGATGGGTCACATCAGGAAGACTGTCAGCGGAAGCACTGCCTGCTTCCACGCGCACCGGGGTCTGTCTCCTGGCTAAGGGTGGAGGAGGATGCTCTGGAGGGCATGGGGCAGGGGCAGAGGTCAGTTGGGAGACTGTTACAATGTTACAAGCACCTTCCCCAGCCCTCCATGGGAGTGGTATTGGGGGAGGCTGGAGGAACAGTTAGGAAACAAGCCATGGTGGCCTATAGACTGGCAGTGCTGGGAGAGGAGAGGAAGCGCTGGGGGTAGAGCCCATTCATCCATGTTGAAGGGTGGTGCCGCTGCTGGGGCGCAGCACAGAGGAGGGCAGTTTGGGTCAGGGTGGGGTGACAGTGATTCTATTCAGGACAGAATATGAGATGGAGGAGACCGGGAGGCCATCGGATAAACCGGCCTTGGGCTGGGGCAAGGTCTCGGCTAGAGGTCAGATTTCTAAGTGCTTGGCATGAGTTTGGATGACAAAGACTGAGTGGCTGTTCTAGACTCAAGCAATAAATCCTGGGAGTGGGAAAAGAGGACAGTAACAACATCACAAGGAGAAGAGTTCATTATCCAGAGCACGAGAAGCTACAGCAAGTGGCAGGGAAGGACGGGGAGGGCGGGGAGACATCATGCCCTAGGGGCCTAAGTAACGTGGCACTGAGACAACAAGGTCAGCTCCTACTAAAATGTTCCATTGCAGACCTGGGACTCTATGAACAAAATTCAGGAAAGGACAACGAGAGAGGTATATTTCACCAAAAACATGGAAGTCGCTGGACTCCCATGTAGTCAACTGTAGTTCAAGTCCTGGGCCCAGCGACTTAAAACTCACACTGGGTGCGTGTGCACGTGTGCCCAGGATTCAGAGAGAAGAATAGAAGTGAAGGGATTGCAGCGTGGCCGTCCCCGTGGGGAAGTAATTTCTCCCTTTCTGTCTCTCTGTCTGTCTCTGTCTCTCTGGCAAGCACACATGCCCTACAATCAAAAAATATTTTATATATATATATATATGTATGTGTGTGTGTGTGTGTGTGTGTATATATATATTGCCCGAGAACTGGGGAAAAAAAAAAA